AACCATATATATTCAAGCAGGCAGGTTATGCTTTAACGCCTTCGGCCAGCACATATATAGTTATTTTTTTTTCCTGGTGTGATAAATATTTAGTTTTATTTTTTCCAGATATATAAAAATGCCTTCTAAAAAATATCATACATATTATTCAGAAAAAGAAAAGGTTTATGCTATTCAAGAGATCAAAGAGAATATTATAATGTTGGAATGTGATGTAACTAAAATACATCAAAATCTTAAAAGTATTGGCCGAGAAATCTATTATCTATATGATACTATGACCGAATCATCTGAGTCCAGTACATCCGAGTCGAGTTTAGCTGAAGAAGCTTATACAATAGAGGAGGAACCTAGGGAATCAATTTTTACGCCACTTAACAAAGTAATACATATGAATAAAAGATCTGGTAATAAGAAGGTGAAATGTAAAAGATATCCATCCCATTTTATTAACGTTAAATCAACTAATTATTGAATCAGACAAACTAACTAGTAATGGCTAAGAAATCGAGGAATAATAGGCATAAGACTACAGGGCCGAAGGCGCCTTGCATAAGTTCACTACTAATCCCACGCAGTACTTACCATTATGCAATCTGGCCAAATATGATCACATATATGATAGGGCAACTGGCTTTATCATTGTTAAGAATATAAGACAAGATAGGGTGGTAGGCGTGTTTGATTATCCCGAACTGTGTGATTATCTGGGAGTCCAATCTGGGCCGTAGGCGCTATGTATGATAATTAATAGTTATATTTTTTTTCTTCATACATAATTAGACTAATTTCAGCAGATAAGGAATGGAAAATGATAAAAAAGAGGAGCCAGAGACAAGCTGGCTTGGCTATGCTTCCTCAACCAATAATTTACCTAGCGAGCCAGAGGAAGCAATCAAAGCATTTGAGAAAAACTTGGAGGGACTAGAAAACCTTGTAAAATTGTTTAAAAGCGATGTAAGTAAAATGTTTGATATTTCTGATCCCAATTTCCCAGGCAGTTCGATTAGTGCTAGTCTGAAGAAATAATCATGTATATTAGTCCTAGTAGACGTCATGTATCACAGGCTACGTCCTGAACATTTGTATTAATAAATTTTGAATACTTATATACAGTGTATCGAAAAGTTATAGTTAGTTTTCTTATTTCGCAGGATCGCTAAGAGATCATTGGCTGAAAGGGACTAATCATGAAATCTTTTTTTTATTGATTTGCAAGGGCTAATGAATGATGCCATGCTATGTATAATTGCTAATGAAAATCTGGCAATATGATTCTAGCAAAGATCTTTAGGAATAACTTTCATGTTTTGCAATGATCAACTGCGGAGGAGACTTAATTATAAAATACTGGTCACTGGAGGTCTGTTCTAGTAAGAAAAATACAAATCAAAAAATATCTCAAATCGAAATTATTAAATAAAATGCTTTCATATACAGATATCTCTATGCTCGTGCTCTTCTGCTTAGTAGTAGCAATCTATGAAACAATATCCCAAGGTTTCTTAACTATGGAGACGCTTCAAATCATTCTTTCAGAAAACTTTTTTACATATATAATTCTCGCAGGAGAATTCGCAACAATCAGACCGGGAGAAATAATGATCTAGAAAGATCGATCCTGACCCTAAATAACAAACTTTAAAGAATGCGTACAGAGATTGAATAGAGAAACGATGCTGTCTCACAAAGTAAAACCTATATGTTTGATTTTCTGGGATCCGTCTGCTTTTCTTAGGAAGAACCCATGATCTAATCTATATCATTTTTTTTTCCACCCTAGCCAGTTCAAACAGGTTTTATTCCACAAGTCGTGTATCACAATATTTCGAATATACGGATAAAATACAAATGTACTGGGTCGAATTCACGGCTATATTTAATCAAAGAACGAGGAGAGATGGGTGTTCTCCTACACAGATATACAATATATTATCCCAAGAAATTCACCTTAGCACTGCTACACTAGCCAGTTTCTATCGACACCAAAAGACCCCAAGGGTCACATCAATGGATAAAATTATTATATGGGTAGGAAGGGAGGGAGAAAGGGAAGGGAGAAGGAGAGTTAATTTTACGAATAATAATGATAGTAGTAGCAATAGTGAAGATGCGAATTAAAAATGGTGCTAGGATACTCATTTATAGCTTAGGATCTGAGTACTCTCACCCTCTTAGAGTCTTTATGGCTCTATAGGCATCATTTATTTCAAACGCTATCTTCCTAGCCATTTTTTATATTTCTTAGCCGGAAAGGCATTTATCTGAAAATTCAATAAAGTTTCCCTGCGCGGGATCTGTAAAATGATTAGCATAAAATTATGAAAAGTGCATATAGTGCTAGAGAACTGTCGTAGAACTCCTATGATATGATATGTCATACATCTCTGATTAATGAATCTGAGAATAATTTAGCTATTATATTATCCCAAAACTAATTTAACTGAATTATGATATCGGGAAAATCCCTTACATACATGTGAATATGAGAAAAAAGGAATTAGCATAGCCAAGATATATGACTCTATATAAACCTCCCAATATGCTTGTAATCGAATAAAAATGAATCTGATTCTTTCCACTTCCCATTATGTGAAAGTTTTTGTGGTAAAATGTTTATATCACTCTCAATAAAGCTAATCACAAATTCTTCGCATTTTTCCCGTATTATTTGTGAAAGTGATGAAGGAACCATATCCTCTACTAGTTTCTAATGATAGCATAAATTAAATAATGTCGAGATCAAAAAATATCAGCTGTTAGCCAGAGGGTTCTTTGAACCAGGCGCTTCGCATATGACTATAAAATAAAAAAAGAAGAATTTACCATAAAGACTACTTCAACCGTTCTGGCAATTTTTCCACTAGATCTGAATCATCGCTAATTACTTAGTTGGCTAGAGAGTCCTTCCAGGTTAACTCAGAAACAGACACCTCATTTACACTCGAAAACAAATGGTGGTAAAGCTGTGACATATTTTTTCTAAGTTTGCCCTTTAGCGCCTTGATATTTTTTCCAATTTTATCTGAACTAAGAGGCCTTTCTCCATTCGTCTTCACCACACTGATATTACGTAAACTACAAACTGTTTTAAAACCAATTTCAAACTAACACAAACATATAATTAATTAGTTCTGGATATATATATATATATAATTATCAAAAGCGCATGCGCTGTCAGATTAAAATAAAGCCCTATTCTCGCATGGTTAGCTACTCCAATACTCAAATAAAGACTTTATGCGATACTAAAATAACCACATTGAATTAAGCATATACTATAGCCTAACTACCCTCCACACTGCCGAGGAAAAAATCCTGTGAGTGGGCTAATAGGATATTTAGTCTATCATACTCTCTTCCTCAGAACGGTATCAGTCTGCGTTATTCATCACTCAAATAAATTCAATTTTTACTTTCTTTAGAAATATCTTACCTCTGGTAAAATTTTAAGAAGAGTAGTATAGCGTGAGGAATCTCGATCATATTGATTCTTCACAAATGTAACAGCCCGCTCGATAATACTTTTTAGCTCGTTTTGAGATATTCAGAGATTGTCTTCGATTTCTTGAAAGATAACAGATCCAGCGGTAATATCCTCTTCCTTAGCATTTAACAAGAAATTGTAAATTTTAGTGTATAAATCGGCAGGCATGGTAAAAATAAAAAAAGTTATGATGTAAAAATTTCAAATAATTTCATCCCTTGTACTTTCAGTATTGCAGGAGATGGCCAAATCTATTTGTTTATTCTGATAGTTTATCCCTCCTTCGGTCAAGACCTGCAGGAGAATGCCTATCCAGTTAGTTTTTCTTTTTCGAATAAATATGAGAAAAAGCCTTATGTGTGAAATTATTTTGTCGTACAAGCAGTTATACAAATGATTTGCGATGTATCACTTATTACATCATATATGCACTTTGCAAGCTTTAACGAGAATCAGAAATATGTTTATTTTGTCGTACACACCTTTTTCGAATTTATGTATGAAATTATTTTGTCACACATACCTACATGCATTGGCTATAAGACGCAGGCAAATATACTCTATGACTAAGGTCTATTTTTTATAGATAATATTCAGGATCTTGATTATCATCCCGCATAAACCTGCAGGTGATACATTCAATAAGCGATCTATGCAAAAAAAGAAAGGATTAATTTATTGTATTATTATAATAAATATGTAATATACTATTTTGGTAAAGAATCTATAGCCCAGAAAACACGTTGCACATACTTACAATTATTATTCGAATCTGAGAAATCTATACTATTAAGCTTTCCCTCAATAGTAAGATATCCAGATTTATAATAGTCAATTTCTAGCGATTCACATGGATATGCTTTGCCTGCTATTTTACACATGTATTATCCATATTCTGAACTTCTAACAAAGTTTACATTGCCATTGTTAAGGTATTTAACAATACGGTGATATTCAGAATTTGATAGCTACTTTAACATATGAGATCAATCTGAACATTCGACGATTCTATAACCTTTCAGATGTAATTCTATAAAATCAACTATGTATGCCACAATAAGTAATCGTTTCCATAACTGATATTTCTTTTTTTCTGCCCAGTTGTATGGAACATGATTATTATATAGTCTATTTAAAAAATCTTTAGATACATCTTTTGCTAGAATTTTTCGATCAATATACCATACATATAGATCATAAATGTCTCTATGACCACGAGGACAAAGACACTTCTTCTCGTCAGGAGTACTATTATATCTCACCATATTCCAAACTCGTTTTGCCCATGTCTCAGATCTTAACTTGAAAGTTCTCCAAGCCCGTTGGATAATTTTTGCACTGTTAAATATGGAATAAGCAATTCTTTGTCTAAATTTATAATCCGTATTATATGTATAAAAACCACGCTGTGGATATATAGAATAATTTATAAAAATTCCATTAATCTCATCAGAACTAAGTAATGATACTCTTCCCACATTTTTCGTATTCATTCGTATAGGATTAAAAGATGCTATACGCCTTTCAGCTGTTTTAGCAATACATTTATTTAGGTGATCATTTGCACATTCTATAGTATTTTCACGAATAGGTACTAAGAAGTCACACACAGTGCAATAAATATAAAATGAATACCTTTCAGCTTTAACTTCTCCATCTTTATAAAACCTTTCAGTCATATGGATAAATCCATTCTTGGAAAAATATTTTGGATTATTTTCAAGAAGTGTCTTAAATAGATAACGAACATGAGAATACCACATTTCTGGTGTTTCATTACTATAACTATATTGCAGATTGTTTAACACTCATACTATTACAGGATTTAAACCAGAATAGAAGTTAGTTTTAACCATTTTATATGTGTAGGGGTTTATAGCAATTTTAGTGATATATAGCGTTTTTAGCGAATATTTCTTGTTATAACAGTTTGTAATAACTATATTATAATAAAATATAAGATTCATTTTTATTCGATTAACTTCAGAGTAGAAACAGATTTATAACTGATTTTTTTTGATTCAGTTAAATTAGATCTGAGACAATATACACAACATGATCATCATTGTATTACGGTATATCTGACTCCTTTCTAGCACCTTATTAGTCCCCAGCGCTCTCCCATCACTTTCAGTTTGTAGATCTCTCGTGATTAACAGGGATTAGCCAGAGGCATTGCAGTATAACATAAAAATTCTGTATCACTCTGGCTTCCAGTCAGATCCTGGTACTTCCCCGCAACTTTCCCAAAACTTCCTCGCAACTCAAATCACGAGATGTGTTATGGATCAGCATTGTTAATCATATTTTGTGTAGTAACTAAGCCACCATTATTTTTCAATTAATCATTACGAAAATTAAAGCGCTGACTATACGCGAAGCTAATTTAGTCTTACTCAGCTTCAATCATGTCCTATATAAGCAAGTCTTTTTTGCTCTTCATTCCCCATAAACTTAAAAATGTCCGTACAGTGGAGCAAGAAACAAACCCGCATGTTAATTGATAAACATAAAAATGGTAATGAAGAATATTACCGAACCTCTAATTGTGATAAGAGAAACTTCTGAAAGAGGATTGCAGAGAATATTAATCAAGCAAATAATAAGAATTACTTTACTGGGGAAGATTGTAACAAAAAATTCTTAGCTATAACTTGAGCATACTATGTAAGTAAATAATTGAGCGTTTTGTATAAATTTAACCCAACTCTGATCTGATATTTTTGATAAATATAAATGACCCAGGCCTATAAGAAAGCCGTAGCAGAAGCTAATACTGAAACTAATGAGGAGGGTAAGGCAAAAGTCAAAAAGAAGAGAAGTCTTGTTGGAGAACATTATTATGAAGAGTTCTTCACGGAATTTTGGAAAGTTTCTGGTATTTTTCCTTCCTTCGGTCAAGACATTCAGGAGATAGCCTATCCTGTTAATTTATTTTTTCAAACTAAAGTGAGAAAAAATATTTATTGTTTCTAAGATCACAACGTTCTACGACATCATCTAATATAACCATCCAACTAACACTCTCAACACCTGGTCCTTTCAAAATAGGGTCTGATACTTCTTCTGCTAAACAAACAAAATTATCAAGACCAGTAATGCCTTCTATTGAGATTCCTGTTATCTCTAAACCTGTCACTCCCACAATCCCCTCATTCTCTCAAAATGCGAATGTAATTAATGTAACAATTAATTATGGTGGCAAAGGAAGCAGTTCAAAAGAACAATAGAAAATAGAATATTTTTTATTAATATATATATATAGTGCTTAGCAACTGTAAAATAGTATTTTAATGTTTTAGCTATTTGTTTTTACAATTATAGCTGTATTAATAAGCAAATGAAATTAATAAATATCACTTGTAAAATGCGAAACATGTTCAAAAAACTTAAAGAAAAATCTTTATTTATCATTATGTAATATGGCCGATCCGTTAACCAAAAAAAAGTGAATATAAAAGTAAAATAATAGATCAAAAGACCGGAGGAATGTAATGATTGAAATAAATGATGCTATCAAAGAGGGAGGGAGTACGTGAATCCTAGGCCATTTAATGCGAGTCCCAGTATCATTTTAATTCGCATCACTACCCCCACTACCATTACTATTGCTACTGCTACTACTATTATTATCCGCAAAACTAACTACTCTTTTCCCTTCTCTTTCAAGCCATGGGATGATTTTATCAATCGTTGTAGTCCTTAGGGTCTTTGATGTCGATAGAAGCTAGCTAATGTGGCTGAACTAAGACCGATTTCTTGAGATAATATATTGTACATCTGTGTAGAAGATTTTTTCCCTTTTTTCCTTCTTTGATCGAAAATGGCTGTGAACTCGTGCCAGTACATTTCGAGCTCATCATTGAAGACAGATCGATGACCTGTGAATGCATAACTCGTGAAAGATCCAGCTGAGAAAAACGAAATACGTCAGAAGGAAACAGAATGCTAAAAATAATCATATAAATGAATATTATATCTCATGATACTGCATCATTCCTATCATCCCTCCATTCATTCTCAGTGCGCATTCTCTGAAGTTCGTTATTTAGTGTCAGGATGGATACCTCAAGATTATTATTTCTCCCAGACTGTTGCTTGCGAAAGTAGATGAATCCTCCTGCAAGAATGATATATGTAAAAAAATTTCCCGAAAAAAAGATTTGAAGCCTCTCCATTGTTAAGAAACCTCAGGATATCGCTTCATAGATTTTTACTATAGTACAGAAGAATACGTGCAGGGAGATGTCTGTGGATGATAGCATTTTATTATTTGTTAGATTGTGAATTGATTGAGGTATACGTAAGTTTTTTTTTTATTTTCTTACTGGAAGCCTTCAACTAACCCAGTGTTTTTATATTCAAGTTTCCTCCGCAGTTGATAGACGTGATCATTGAAAAACATAACAGTCCCTGGATCTTCGCCAGAGATCTTACAGTCCATTATTTAGCCGATCCTGACCTGCAAATTACCCTGTATTAGAATGCATTAGTTTAGCGATCAAAATTTCGCTAAAAATTTTATTTATAGCTAAGAGATCAGATGCGTTTTTATTTGCAATACATTGAAATAAATACAAAGATCGGGGCCAGGTAGGACCCTCTGGGAACAGGCGCACCTGAGCTAAGAAAAAGAGAATTTCTCTGATATCTTCTGCGCATTTGCCTTAGCGTCTTCAGCCAGGTGATCGGTTCACCCACGTGATTCAAAAAAAGAAAGATACGATTTCGCATAATTCAGTCTAAGCGAGTATCCTAGGCAGTCACCGGAGAGATGGTAGGACTAACCACTGACTGAGGTACAGGATCATCAAAATATATATCACAGTTCTTGTGAATTTCCATGAGTATTTTATCAAAATCGTTATCGGCAGGCTCAGTTGGTGTTTTTTCCTATAACTTCGCTAATCGAGCCATTTCTTCAAGCTTGATCCTTTCATGAAGTTCGTGATCATACTCATCATCAGAGTCAGAGTCATCAGATTTGAAATATATGTCAGAATCAGATTTATTGGCATCGGATTCATTAGTGTCGGAGTCATTGTCACTTTCGTTCATTTCTTCTTCCTCCTCATCAAAATACATATCTGTCTTAGCTTGCGATGCTGGGGTTACTACACTTGCTGACGTTTTGTTCTCTTTCTCTATCCCAGCCTCGTATGGTGTATCCCAATAAGTGGTCTCCTCGTCAATAGATCCCGTGATCATTTTTAGATAATCCTCCTTTTTGGCTGATAAGGATGAATTTTCTTCAGGTATAGACATAGTTAGAGCACTTACTTCAGTCGATTCATTCGTTACTTCTTCTTCCTTAAAATAATCTGTAACATCCGAGTTATCACTAAAATTATCATCTAAGTTGGGGTCATTAGCTGAAGTAGTAGCCACGGTCTCAGAGATTTCGTTTATAGGACTAGTGATTGTTTTCGATTTGACCTATTCTATGATATATTTGATTTAAGGATTAGTGAGTTTTGAAATTCTGTCAGCACTACAGGTGATCCAATTAACCATATACCTAGTTTACCATCAATTTTTTTCAGAGTTACAGAATCATATTCAAACCCAAATAACTTATTAATTTTTCTCGCTCTAGAGGTCCTCACACGTAAATATTCATCTGAAATACCTGTAAAGTATGGTTTCATTTCGGCATAAATTTGTATTCTTGCAGTCCTATCCGCAAGTTTCTTATTTTCAGACATAAGTTTCAGGACCTTGTTTTTGAATCTTTCTGAGAATAAACGCCAAGCTGTAATTTCTGCTCGCTTTGCTGTAATCAATCTATTTCTTGCTCCATTTGCTTGGCAGAATGAATTGGCAAGTCTCTTAATACTTATCAATCTGAGAACTATGGTTTTGGGAGAAGAAAACTTTACATCTTTCAGAAGTTGATTGTCAGATAAGAGTAGCTCTTCCAATAAACCTTATACGAATTCGGTTATTATACTCGGTCCTATCACTGATTTATCTTGATAGTCAACTTTGCTCTTGATTTCTTCCAAACTTTCTGAAGCCACCTGATCGTATCCCAAGGATACAGTTTTTCCGATTTCTTCCGAATTTTCTGAAGCACTCCGATCATTAATGGTGTTCGAATCTATAGCAGAATTCGCAATATCTTCAATGACCCCTGTTTCGTAAGATAATTCTGAGGAAGTATAGTTAGTAATTTTAGGCACATCCGTCTTCTCAATATTGTTAACGGTTCCTGATAAATAAGCAGTATCAGAAGAGCTATCCTGGCTAGCCGATTTACGCTAGAGTTTTTTCTTCTTATTGCGTCGCCTAATATCTTCACCAACGATTTTCTTATCCTCCTCATCCAAGAAAATATCCATTTCTTTCTCCTGTAATGATTTTTCATGATGGATCACACCTGAATTGGCCGAAGGCGCTAAAGCAAAGTTAGATAAGATGTTATTAGGAGTATTATCACTTTGCAACTGCTTCTCTTCCAATTTTTCAATTCTAGCATCACATTGGTTATTCTCTTCTATCATTTGCTTCATAAGCTCTGCATTTCTGGCCTCAATCTCGACATTCCTGGCTTCAACCTCAACAAGCTTCTTTCTAAGTTCAGGAATCTCAGCTAAAATTTCTCCATCTGCTTAAAAGTTAAATCAGGCAAGTTTCTTTCTAAGTTCAGGAATTTCAGCATTTTTGGTCTCAAGTTCGACATTCCTAGCTTCAAGCTCAGAAATGCATTGCTTTAATAAATCTATTTCGGATTCCATGTCTGTGTAATATCAATGTTAGTATTCAAAATCGATAAAAATATGTAAATTATTCGGCAGATCCAGATTAGTTAGATCGGTAGAGTACCACCATTCTGCTTGATCAGCTAGTATTCTATCGAAATAATTCCTTGGTGATCGTCTGATAGGGTGCTGAAATATCGGATCTAAAGCCTGCGTCAAATTCTGATTGTTACGCATACTTAGATCTAAAAGTCTCTGAAGTCTCTGAGCTAAAATCTCTCTACTAGTAACATTATTCTGTGTAAGATGATTTTTACCATCCCAATGAGATCAGGAGGCGTTATAATTTCCACAAAATTATCAACATGAATATTCAGATTAAGTGAAACGAGCTGATCTACAGCTTCTTTGCTAATATTATTACACCCTTTCAAATTGAGATACTTTATGTTAAGACACGAACCAGCAATTTTTTTGATAGTTATATCGGTAATTTTACAAAAGTTGAGGTCAAGATACTGGAGCCTTAGCAAGAACGAATAATATTACAAATTGATTCAGAAAACTCTGTATGTCTAAAAATATTTAGACATTCTATTTTATAACATGAATTCGCGATTGCACATAGGCCTTTATTATTTCCAAATCCACTGCATAAAGCGGATATATTAAGAAACTTCAAATTTGGGTATGATTCTGCTATTAGCTTTAAAACTTTACCAATAGACTCGGGCTTCATACTCTCTCCAAAATCTAAATGTATTATATTTTGAAAAGTATGCATAATGCCTTTGATTTTTTTATTTGAAAGTGAACGATAGTCTGATATTTTGAGATGAGTTAGTTTTAAGCTATAAACTAGTCTTCTTCCTCCTTCACATACTATTTTAAAAATCTTTTCAATCGAGATCTATCATTTACTTCATTCCTCTTTAGCTCCATGCGTTTCCATAGAATAGGAGCACTGCATCTGTACTACAATCGGGATATAAATAGAGCAGAATACAGTGTCTTATCTACTGCTAGGGAATATAGAATCCACTCTAATAGTTCTGGTATAATAAAATACTTGAATGCGCCATACATAGTGCATATTATATGTTATATCTTTAAATGAAAAAATAGCAAAGCTCCTTACCCTGAGTGCCTTCGGCCATGGAAATTTCACAATCATGTAAAGCGCCTGATTTTTTGAATCCTTCTGGCTCGGTCATTTCAAACTACTACTCACTTAACCTTTCTTGATCGCGCCTTCCTTCTTTGCTTATGAGAACAGCCCCCTCTTACCTCAATTATCTCAACTGAATCAGAATCTTCGGAAGACTCAGATGAATAGGAGAGACTCTTACATTTT